TCTTAATAATGAGGGATCTTTCCAAGTAAGTTTCAAAAAGAAACGGGAAGGGATTCCTGATACTCATCCATTTCACGCCCAGCAAAAAAAAAAAAAGAGAACGACCCTTTCCTGGCAGCAGCTATCGCTTATATACCGATATTTTTCTAAATAGACCAAAAAGTAATGATAGTTTTGGAATTGAGTAGTCTCTGAGCAGCGGTTCTTCGAACATTGTATTGCAATTACCCTGACAAAGTTTGACGGTCGGTTCCCCAAGTAAACGTTTCCTGGTCCTGATACCCCTGTAGAAGTAGGTGGAAAGGGCCAAGAGTAGGACAGAAAGCGTTTTATCACTCCTCGTGCACCATTCATTGGTTTTCCTCTGGAGATTGGAAACAAGATGCATGTCTCAAATGCAGCCTCTCTGTAGTGGGGAATGAGGAAAAAGTAACTTGTATTTTATGATTTTGAATTTCAAAATATAGTATTAATTATATTATTAAATAAGTATAGTATTAAAATACAGGGTGATCAAGAAGTGAAATGCAGTGAAATTAATTCATTTTGTGGCTTTTATTTTGAACTATTCTGCTTATCACGCGTATTACATAATCAAAGACATAGATTCACATGCAATACTTCAAATATTTGCACCATCCGTGATGCACATAATTTATTGTCTGTACATCCCATCAAGAATGGGACTTCCTACATCATATCATGGACTCTACTGCACAGTGACTTCTTGATCACCCTGTACCAAGCTATGTAATGGCAGACCCTCCTGTTAAAATTTTCCAATTAACTAAGCACTATATTTCCCCAACGCTTGGGTATAACAAAGTAATGGCAAGATTGCAGGTACATTCCTGTTATACCTATAAGTGTGTGTTAAGTGTACTGTCCATTTATGCAATTTGTCTCATCAACCATCAAGTTCACAGAATCATTGTCTGTTTTCCTTCAACTCATTGATGGACGGAGGGAGCAAAAAATGCGCCACCGGAAATGCCAAGGGACAATGCGAAAACGAAACATGCTTTATTCATCATATTGAACATCCTTTTTCCCTCCATAACAGAGACACATTCGATAATACAGCACGCACAATTTTTTTTATTTCTTTCTTCTGCAAAATCATGTCTGATAAAACTCAGGCTGAGGAGCGAATATCACAGATGATGATTATGAGAAACAATTCAGAACCAATATAGGTCCTTGGGGGCTTCTTGTACAGCGGCCGCCGACGCATCCAAGGCTGAAAAGATATTTCAGGGAAGAGAGTCATTATATATATACCATGAGTAATATTTTACGGGAGTCTGAAGAAATATGGCTTGCAGAAACTAATTTACGAAGGAGGAAAGGTGAAATCATAACGGGATGTATGGGGTAAGTTATGGTGTGGGGGAAATGCCTGTTGTCTGTTTCTCTCTTGTAGGCTTCGTAGCTGCGGATATACATGAGGGAAGGAGGAAGGAAAAGGGAGAGAGAAGAAAGGAATAGTGAGAAACACAATGGAGAGGCAGGAAGCCAGGGAATCTGCCAGTGCAAGAATAGATAAACAAGATCTTTTCCTTCTCTTTCTCCCTTCCTCTCCCCTTCTCTATCTGTCTCGATGCTTGACACCCAGCCCTTAAGGTGCATAGTGTATACCTTATCGGGTATCCCATCTTGGGTCGTTTTCAGTTCAGGACAATGCTCGCTCTATCTGTTCACAGTTTCGCAGCAGTCCAATACTTTCCAACAGGATTCTTGAGCACAAAAATGTTTAACTTGGGCACTACACATTAAATGATGATTATAGAAACATTCAAGAGCAGATATTGAGCAGCACTGCCATATTCTGCGGCAAAGTAAAAGTACTAGCGCTATGAATAACGTTATTCATCCTTATTAAGTACTCATTTGAATGATATCTTTATACACTTTGAGCTGTTAGATTTTATTGTGCTTTAAAAAAAAAGTTGCTTCTTGAGTTAGTGCAGACTTTTAGAAATACTGAGCGAACAAAACTACTGGTACCAATCTTACGCTTGTGCGAATAACTGCCAACAGCGTACGTTGATCGATCCACTTGAGGAAAAATCTTTTCCAGGGTTCGATAACACAAATAAACTGAAGGAAAGTACTCAGGTCTCTCTTCCCTCAATGTTATCATCCAAAGCAGAGTCCGATTGTTCGAACGGCCTATTTGGACGGATGAATAAAACAGTTGACATTTGGGATTGCACTCTTCCATGAGGCTGCCGCAAAATGAGCTCAGCATCTACGTAGGTTTCATTTTTGTTCAGTCTGTCTATGAATGGATGAGCGACGAAAAAAAAGCTGTTAGGCTGTGTTGTGGAATGTGCGTGGAAGTTCGAGATGCGATCATGGGGCTGGGAAGGATGCCACCATCAGCACCGCCATTCGTCTCCATTGCGAGAGGGAGATCGCACGTGTGGAGCAACGTTTTGCGCCATTTCATCCCTGCCTTTCTCTCTTCCTCCTGCCAACTGTTACACCATCATCTGGATATCATTCATGACCTTCTCCTGTGTCTAAGAGGGGCAGGAAAGGACCTATAAGACATTCAGCTGCTCTATCATCGCTGAGGGTAGCTGCAATTTTTTTAGAAATGGGTCTGGCCACCGTGTCGGACGTGACATCCGGAGTAATATGTTTGATGTACAAAATATATTAAACTATATTATAAACGACGAATCAACATAAAAAGGTTTGCAACATTTTGCTTTAGGCAGTGACTGAAAATCCCATAACCCAAACTCTTGTGTTCTCTTTTTTTTTTTTTTTATAGAGGTGTACCTATGCGAAGAAAAGTGTCAGGCGTGACATTTCGTGAAACTTCAGGTTTAAGTCACTTACTGTAATGTTCAAACTCTGTCAAAGAGCGGAACCTAATAACTTAGTATTAGGCTCATTCTATAGTTTAAATGAAAGCCTTTAATTAGTATAAGTAATCCCAGGATCACAATACATGGAAAAGAAAGTAAGGCTGTTTTGCGACTGTGTCGGATGCGACAAGAAAGTGTCAGATGTGACATGTTCGGAAAACGTATTTTAAAACGAAAGTCTGTACGGATCTTTTACTGTTATTTTAAATGTATCATTCAAATGTGAACAATTGAAATCTACTCTTCACATCTGACCTGATTTAAAATCATCAGTATGCATAGGAGAACCCAAGGTGGCACCTGTTCCAATAGTAAAATTTAGTCTCTCCAGATTTGAATTTTGAATGACTTGAGAATGGAATGAATATTATAAAATTAACATGACTAATTCTTTTATTTTCCAATTTAATATTCTCCTCCATGCATGCCTTCTGGGAAAAGAGATGATGAGCCTTCGCTGCAAAAGTAATATTTGCATATTTAGAGATATTTCTGGCTGAAATCCTACGACCACTTGGCGTGGACAGACCCAATTATAAAATGCTTTTGCATAATTTTGGTTGATTTGCTTCCATAAGTCATTGGTACAGATTAGAACAAATTCTAAATCTTTTTCTTAAATCCATTTCTTCCAAGGTAGTCTGCGTCTCGAAGGCTCTACGTTTGCAGTCTGGAGACTTAGAAAATATAAATGCCGCCGTTTACCTTTCTTTGACGCAATTAAATAAATATAAACAGTGGTGAGTGAATGAGTGACTGATGCTAATTCTAACCATTTCATAGATATGATAGAAGTAAGTTAAAATGCTGCTGAGAGATTCACCTTTCTTTCGGCCACATCGCAGCGCCCCCCTGAATACGTCGTTTGAGCACATATATCAGTTCGTGGTGCCACGAAAGGCAAAAAGAGAAGATAAAGAGGAGGATTGAGTTTGAGAGGGCGACATGCGTGCCAAAGGGGAAAGAGAGAAAAGAAAGAGCTCATTCACAATAGGCACGACAAGGTTTGTAAACCGAGTCTCCTGCCTGGCTTTCCCCTCTGATGGATTGGCGGAACCTTCTTCATTCCTGCACCTTTGTCCCACCCATTTCTCATTCTCACTCTCACCAGCCCCTTCCTCTACCACCATCAATATCATCACCATGAGAAACTCTGTATTCAATGGAACTTTGGTTTCACGTTTGCATTTTTCTAGGATGAAATTTCTGCAGATTGCCCGTTGGATCGAAAAATGGAATTTCTTGATGGCAAAAAAGGAACGATTCGCCGGCACTGTACGAGTGGTTATTTGACTGGGACAATAACTCTAAAGTGGTCTAAGATAGCCGAAACGGCTTTATGCGCTTTTGGAGCCTCTTGTGTGTGAAAGGTTGCCAGCATTTTTTTTCTAGTGTAGTTTTAGGTCTAGGACCAGTTTTTATTAGGTCAATCCCGATCATCTTAGCTTGATTTTAAATTTAGTTTTCCAAATAATTTTCTTTCTTGAGCTTCTATGCAGCATGAACTTATTCCTCACTTAGTAATTTTCAATTTAGCTTGAGTTAATCAGTTCTCAATGCTAAAAAAGAGCTTATATTGTTCCTATTGTGTTTTTGGAGGTTTTAATTTTCTATTAATTTTGTTCTGATTCTGTTAGTTATAGTTTTCATTAACAATCTTTTAAAAATTTGTGTGTCTCAACAATGGCTGGGTCAGGTCGCTGAGAAGAATCGATTCCAGACCTTCTGAGTGGCAGGTTGTCGCTCTATTATACAGTCATGTCACTGATATCACGGCTGTGATTTGTGCATCCCACATTAATAATTCTCTGTAGTGGAGACATCACCTGGTATGCGAGATCTCGTCCGAATGAAGATCATCCTTTACTCGTGGGTGATGCGCAACAACATTTTCAGTCAGTAAAGTGCTCATACTTCCGAATGTGCTTTTTCTAGCCTTCCGACTCTAATCAGTCAGAGGTACGCAATGCCTAGCAAAATAATTGTACTTATACAGGTGCCTTTGTCTGCATACTACAATCATCAGTTCCTTTTGACGATCAGATTATCGAAAGGTCGTTCCCAGATACACTCCAACTCGAAGTAATGGATCTAGCAAGTAATAACCAATGGTTCCAAGCACTAACCCGAGAGCGATCCGAAGGTGTGAGCAGCGGCGAAATTGGTATCGGGGAATCCACCATGATGGTGATGATGGTGAATCCTAGCAGCAGCAGCTGCAGCTGCAGCTGCCGGATGATAGTCCGCTGATCCCGACTTGGTGCCACCTCCAACAGCCTGATGTCCAGTTGCACTAACTGCTCCACCCCCGCCCCCCATTCTCGCTGCAGCGGCGGCGGCGGCTGCTGCTGCCGCTGCACTGTGACCGGGCTGCATGAACAACCCACCATAATTGGTATTGAAACGCGATGCCCCTGCTGCACTCATCCCAGCATACGCCAACTCTGCCGTTCGATGAGAATACGCCTGAAATATGAATCAGATTATATGCAACAAAATGTGACATTTTCCGACTTCGAAGTCTTAAGCAACAGTTCACTTGAAGGAATGAGCATATAATGACAAAGAATAACTAATGCTACTTCTATCTGTTCACACGCAGAATACTTCATTCGACGGGCGCCATAACGTTGAGACTGCAAATGAAATCGAAACATCTCCAAATGGCTGGACGGATTTGTATGAAACTTGAGATTATCACTCATGGCAAAATGCAATTTTAAAAAATAATATTTCGAGTTATTATTAAACAATGGCTTGGGAAACCTGCAATTACGCAAATGGATGCAATGCGATTGGTACAATAAGGGTGTACCACACGGGGAATGGAATTCAGACCAGCCTTGTCCGGTCAGTCAACGGATGTTGACGACTCTCATCAAGCGATATGAACAACCAGAAAGCTTAAATCATAGCGCTGCAACCATAGAGATGCAGCATTAACAATTTGACTCCTCCTGTGACAAAGCATGTCCCACTTTTTCTCAGCTCTGCTATAGCCCACAAAAGGGTTGCAGGTTGATCGCTTCTTTTGCTGTTCAGAAAGCTTTCGGTCGATTCAAAGCGCTTGGTGAGGGTCGCCAACACCCATCGGCTGTCCGACAGGGCCCGATACGAATTCCATTCTCCATGGAATGCCCTCATTGCACTCATTACATGTTGTCCATTTGCATAAGGACAGGTTATACAAGCATTGCTAAGCTAACTATTTCGTCTCCTTATCTGGTGGCAACTCTGCAACCTTCTTAACCCAACCTGTTATAAGATGCAATTTTGTTTTTTATATCCCAAAAAATTCGTATAAAAAATTACCATTTTGCTTTTATTTATAATTTCAAATGTCATGCATATCTATCCAGTCATTGTGGAGATAGATATTCCAATGTCATTTAGTGTAGTGACTTTATGAACAACCTGTAGATTATATATATCGGATGGGTAGGCTTATATGCTCATATTTCATCTGCAGGAAGCATAGCAGATACAATATGAATGGCAACCAATCAGCTTTTGACGCATTGGCATGGAAAATCTTGCTTCTGCTGATGTAACCATAAATTTATCAAGCTTTGTCCTTCGTGCTCATGTTCCTTATGTTATGAACTTATGAGCTCACTAACCATTAGTAAAACCATTAGGATATATAGACAGGTCTCGGTTTAATCCTCTATTGAATAATAATGTCAATTGACATCAAAGCAAAATTTGAGAACATGAATTGAGAACAACTATTTTGAGTGCGTATTTTGCCCAAAAATGCCAAATGGCATCAAACCTGCATCTCAGATAATTGCTCCCCCCCCCCCCAAAAAAAAAAAAAAATTCATGGGTAAATGTAAAAAAAATTCAAACTAATTGACATACCTCGTAATACTTTTTTCTGCTATATTTTTTATATTTCATGCAGTAGAGGGTTAGATGCTTGAGGTATGTACCATACGTCAGTTTCCCTGTGAGGAAACAGGCCAACTAGGTGGAGGATGATTTCTGAATTTCAATCGATGCGATACTTCTACTAATTTAGAAATCTAGGCAATAAAGTTAGATATTTTGCAATTTTGTGAATACTATAGAAGTGGGTGATGGCTGTAGAGCATGATCTTAGAGTGAAACCGACCTGAGAGGAAAGAGAGAGGTTCCAGGGATCGGCTTGGAAGTGAGGATGTATCCCCGCAGCAGCAGCAGAGGAATAGAGTTCAGCAGCGGCGAAGGGGTTAAGATGTTCTGGTCCTGGATGGCCCAGGTTCCCCGAGATCATTCCTTGACCTCCTGGCGCTTGATAGTGACTGTCCCAGAACGACGGCGGGAAGTTTCGTTGGGACATTGGCACCAGATCTGAGATGAGTTCAGAGATGAGAACATATTTTAGGTATGTGAATGGCGAACTTGCGAGGTGACAATGTTGCATAGGACAATGTCTGTGATTTTTCATGATAAAAACTTACATCACAGGTACATACGGTACGTCGGGAAAAGAAACTGTATCGGTAGCAAAAGATCTCATTTGATCTTCTCCATAAATTAAGCAATTTTATATTACCAAGAGAGGTGGATGTAACTTTTTTCTTCCGTTGTCTGCTAAGATCTGACCAATAGTAATTGCGACCCGAGTCCTTTATCTATATATTGGGGATACTGCAGCTCTTTGTCGCTCCTCTTACTTAACCATTATTCACTCTTTCGTCTGTAGCAGACTTTTTCTTAAATTGGTAATGATCTGCTAATCGATGCCTTTGCCCGATGCAATGCAAATGTTCTAAAAGTAAAGTGAAAATGTCGCCAGACATGACAGAGGAGATGCGGGGCGCAGTGAATGCGCTCTCCTTCAAACATTCTGCTTTGAGGGTGTACAATATGGGTACCATCGGTTCATGCGATTGTCTCAGTTTAGATAATTGAAACTTGCTTGGAAATGCTATATACAAGGGATACACATTTATCAAGTGTAGCACGCACTTTCACGAACAAAATCTCTCCCACAGGACGTAAGCAAATTAAATTTTGACTTTGTTAACCGCAATATCATGACTAGATGGCACAGATCTGTCGGGAAAGAGCACTGGATAAATTGGTTGCCATTTCTTAACCAAAATTCCGGTCCCTCCTCCCAACTGAAATCTTCTTTGGTATCGTCTACATTCCTCTAAAATCATAAATTACTTTAACCCTTTCCGGTCCTTTATCGAACTTAGCACGACCTCCAGAATTTCTTCCTCATCTGGGTCCTGGGGCCTGGGTGTACGTCGAGTGCTCCAAGTAATCCACCGGAAAGGGTTCATCTCTGGTATTTCGGACAACCTTCCGTATTCGGTGCGTCTACGAAGAAAGCCTGAGGCTCTGACAGGTTGTGCAGTGATTCCCAACCCCTCCCAAACCCTCTAGTTTCTCCAGAAGATCATCAGTAAATCTCCATGCAGATTGTTTGGTCTGAAACACCTTGGAAACGTCGGGTGTAGGAGTTTTGACCTTTTCACATTCAAATCTCTGATGTTGAAGTACGTGATACACGGCAGGAATCTGTTGTTTTACCAAGACCCGTACTACGGCATTATAAGCAATTCACGGTTTTGCTGAGTAGCCTACCGCAGCGCCAATCTCACGAAAGAAACCAGGACAATTAAAGTTTCACTGTTACACCATTCGGAAAAATGATTAATGCATTTCCCTTTCGAGCACATAGTGGTCGGCTTTTGGCGATTAGAAAGCATAAAGAGGACGACTGAATCCTCTGAACTGCAAGCTTCTAATAGTCATTGCCGATCTGCAGCAACGAAATATGTTGCATGTCAAAGCCGACACTCTCAGAAATAAATATTTAAAAAATTACGGCAGCGGTTTCTTTTCTAGACTCCTCGTCCATTGACCGTACGAGGGACAAAATGTGGACAAGCTGAAATCGAGGATTTTCTTTGGATCATATCGAAAAGTATGATGCATGGATGAGATGTCAGGAAGGCTTACGTTAAAAGCCCTTTTACAGTTCGTGTGCGACAGAATCTCGGCTCCTCAGCTAGAAAGAAAAACACGAGGAAGCTTTTTTTCCCATATGTTTCCGAAATTGCCTCATCCTGCTCATGACTTAAGTTCCTCTCGGCAGAGACAGTCCTGTCTCGCGTGGACGAAGCAACGGCAGAATTAGACTAAAACGAAATACATGCCTCAGGGAATTCGATCCTATGAAAGGCTTTTATTTTCTATTATCTTCAGTGTAGATGATAGAAAATAAAAGTGGTGCCAAATCCGTGGCCCGCGGGCAAAAAGTGACCCTGCGAGGTGCTTACAAGTGGCCTGCGAGGCCCTAACCCACAAAAAATACCCTCAGGTTTCCTCAAAATAATCTCCAACATTAGTGACTGCATATGGCCCGCGATGGATGTGGGCTATGTGAGCTATGTGGCCCCCGAGCCCGAAAAGGTTGGGCATCTCTGATCTGCATTGATTTGATTCTATTGTTGATATTAGCTGTAAAATACGATTAAGTTTGGCGGCTAGCGGAATCGGAATGGTGGCTGTATTAGCTCCCTCTCTCAGATATTTCTAACACTCATTTCACCAAATCATAGCATGAAACGAATAGAAAGTTGGTTTGAAATGCACAAAACCACTAGCAACTACTGTTGTCCCTAATGGACAATCACGCTACATTTGCTGAATTGAATCTTAAAGTTCTGAATGCACGAACGTGATTTTCTAAGATCGGCAATACGATGTTTCGGTTTGCATCACTTGCATGAATCCATCCAGTTAGTGCCAGGGCAAGGAGCCAACGTTATGACAGGACGTGATCTGTCATGTATCCATGAGATGTGGAATCGATGGGCAGAACGGTATCTCCGATATGCAAGGGTTTCGTGGGAACCCGGAGAAATCCAGGTCAGTCATCGCATCATCTTCTTTCTTCCCGTGAGAGAGATCTCACGCATAAGGGTCTGGCAAAAATTCCTCCTTCTCGTCCGCATCTTTATTACCCCGTTCGAAATTTTTTATCCGATTCCCATCAATACTTTTGTTGCACGCCGTAAATCCTCCGAACGTGAAGAAACGGGACTTGGAGGAAATTCGAGAGCCGATGATCGCTATCAGCTTTCGTCATTCCATCGACGGAGATCTTTATCGTCTTTCCTTGTGGGTTCCAGATGACTTCATCGAAGTCGATGGAAGCATGCGAAGATTAACGGCCCCCTAGACCCGGAAGCAATCAGTACGACACTCATTAATACCGCCCATTTCGGTACGAATGACTGGCCGGGGCTTGACGGTCTGACCATCGACGGAGCGTGGGCGAGCTTGTCCGACCATGCAAAGAGAAAATCATGAGGGCAGTGTTGGGAAATCCAGCTAGAGACCTCCCCTCGGATTCCCCTCGAGTCTCGTGTAGGTGGTCGGAATGACTTCACGTCTCGAAAAGATTCCCATCGATGCTATGGGCTAACCAACAAACTTTTATGCCCAAGTCGGCATCGATTCGTGCATCCCTCTCCAGTCTCGATCGATCGAATGATTCAACTACATAGCGTAGCGCTGTATGATTGAAATTAACGACGGGATGCGTCATCCGATGTCCTTCTGGTTCATCCGGCTCGGTTCTCAGAATCTCAGCCCGGTTTCGGTCTTTAATGATCCAGTCGGTAGTCAAACAGATCAATAGGGCGGATATTCATCACTGCAATAAAGCAATCCCGCGAAGTATACTACATATCTTAAATAAGAATAAGAAATATACTTGTTCCCGAATGGTTGATAACATTTTTTCTTGTTAGAATTCCCCAGTACTTGGAACATCGATAATAATAAAATCTTATAGCCTAGCTTATTCTCACATCAGTGAGAAGCGACCGCTGAAAGCATCGATTGTGCCACCATTTCTTCGGAATTCGTTTCGAAATCGTAATCCATATTTTCAACGTGGCAAAATCCCCATAACTTCCAGTGCTTCTGCACTTCTACGGCAATTCTTATGACGGAAACCTAAGTTCCAATGTCTTCCTTTCGTTCATAGTCGCAATGATTGATTGCTCCATGCTGAAAAACAGAAGCAAGGGAATTTCATTCAGAAGGAATGTTGGCACGCTTTATACCGTCAGTGACAAAACCATAGGCGGCGATTTGTTGAGAAATTTGGGGGGGGGCTCAGAGACAGTACTCCAAGTATTCCTTGCTCTCGTCCTCGCTGCGAGCCACTTCTGTCAAATTTTTTTTTTTTTGGGCGGGGGGTGCTCGAGCCCCCTGAATCCCTATGTATCGCCGCCTATAGGTCACAAAACCCTTCCAGAGTTCAAGAAACAAAAATGAATCTGCTTTGTGCTCCTCATGCCGTGAAAGTAATTTTTGGAAAAGTTTTGCAAGAATTTTGGAAGGCAGCACATGAAAACTATTGTATTCTTCATTGGGATGATTTTTCCTCGATGATCCGAGAAGACTTTGCCGTCCTCGAAGCATTTATTGTCTCCGAGTAAAAAGGAGTCGAAACAGGTATGTCTTACTTCAGGGAGAGCGGGGTGAGTATGTCGTAATGGAGGAGTGGAATTCGGAAGTATTCTTCCGGGTAACACGGTAGCATGTACGAGAATTGCAAGAGATGGAAAGAAAGAGAGAGAGACAGACGGAGGAATGCGGGATTAAAGGCGGCTTCCCACGCCCCGATCAAACGGGGCGGCACAGATCAAAAACTCTCCTCACCCCCTCGGGGCATATCTCTCTCTCTCTCTCTCTCTCTCTCTCTCATATCCAGAAAGAGAGAGTATCACTTCATCCCATATATCTGCATTCCTCCCTCTTCTATAAGAACGAGTTCGGCCGTCTGTCCCTTTTTATATGCTTTTTTTTTCCCTCCCGTCTGTATCAGCTATACAGGACGATGCTTTTAAAATGGTCCACGATTCCGCCTTCATTGATTTATTAAAATGTCTTACTGTCCCTGCGCCGACTGAGGGGAATCTCTCACGTGCTCCGCGTATCTCCGCTCCGTCTCCGCGTATTAAGCCTGTGTCGAATTTTCTACGACTTCGTTTTCTTCTCCCCGCTTCTCCTTGGAATGTCATGCATAGCTTTTCCCCATTTCTCTCAATCCAGGAGCCGTCGGAAGGAATTGTACGTGTTCACCGGTTAGCTCGGAAGAGACTATTCTGAGAGACAAAGCAAGTCTCATTCCTCCTCAGTTACGATAGTTTTTGAGAAGTAAAATTTGCCTCGAGCGCTATCAATGAGCTATGCATCGACAGCCTTCATGATACCTTCCCTTACTTTCACGTCATCGACTGTACCCACAACGGAACATGTCGTCAAGGAAGGATGTGTTTTTTCATATAAAAATTTTTTTGGAATTTGCCTCCATGTTGGGCTCATCTTTTTCCACCTGAGGGCCCTACGACGAATTTATGGTTTAGCTTTCAACCTGTTGCTGGCTGATGACGCGCCTCTCACTCAGCCTCTACTTGTTGCAGACTCCTACAATATAGGTGCACGATTATACGGTACATCCTCAAACGAGGAAATCTCGGGAAGCATGCCGAGGATTTTCATGCCAATTTGGTGAAAAGTTTACATGACGTTGTGGCCCGAATGATGCGACGGGGTCTCTCCATTCTTCGATCCAAGGTGAACGAGGATGTCATCAGCCTTGCTGCGGCTCTCTCGCGAGACAACCCTTCCATCACAGTCCTAAGCTCAGCGCCGGTAATGTGAAACCAAGATTCCATGAGTATTTGGGTGCGAGTCAGCTATGGGCGCGCAGCCGAGAAGAGAAAGGATTTGCGCATGCCGCCAGGTGCTTCGAGAGGTCGGCCCGATCGAATCCAAACGTCCGACAGGTGAGATGAGACTTGCGGCTGAAGTTACACCTGCCGTCTACCTTTGGGGATTCAGGGCCCAAGAAAATGTTCATGTTTCTCACTTTCAATGGGCCTGTTGTGGACGATCGACCTTCTCCAGTTCAGCTCGACAGAAATCAGCTATCCTCAAAAAGTAGAGGAATGCCGACTAATTGTAATTGCTTCTGCGTCCGCTTGGATGGAAACGAAACGAAAGAGGAGTTCACAACGTATCGAGCGAACTGAACTGGGAATGCGAGGAAACCGTCGAAAAAAGGATTGAGAACCGTGCCAGAAAACGTTTCAGAAGCGTCCTGCCTAACGTTTACGTAAACCGATTTCCTGTCCATGAGGCCAGGGTGTCTGCGCATGCGCAAACTTGAAGTATCTCTCATTTTCCACGTCGGAACGGCTACAATCAGCTGCATAGGCGACGATTTGTTGAGAAATATGGGGGGCTCAGAGGCAGTACTCCTTTGAAAGTATTCTTCCTTCTCGTGTCCTCGCTGTGAGCCCCTTCTGCCAAATTTTTGGGGGGACCCGAACCCCCTGAGCCCCTATGAATCGCCACCTATGGTCGGCTGTCAGTAATCTCGTGTGAGACCGACACACTGGATGAAAAGGCAAGACCGGTGGCATCGATGATGGAAATGAGCGAGTCTGAGGAACCTTATGAAAATGTAGCGTCTCGAAATTCCACGCATTTTCACAGGATTCGCCAGATCGTGGAACGAGTACCTCGAAGAAACGTTTTCGTGAAGAGTTGAAAACTGAACCTTCAATCGAACGGAAACTACGGAATCGGTCGCAAAATTTTCCAACACCCCTCCTTTTCCCTCCTTTGCTCTTCCTTTCCGGGTAACCCTAACGTAACTCCGATGGACGTGACCTCTTTGGAAGATTCCTATCGATCAAAGGTAAGGAACGTTTTCTCTTGCTTCATGCAAAAGACGTTAGCATCAAAATTGACTTATTTTCTATGCCTTGTGTCTAATGTTTTAGGATGTGTTCTAATACCTTGATGATGTTCTTTTAATGATTGCCAACACTATGAGCACAGTACACATGCCAATGGGCATCAGAGTCTACCAGTACTTGATTCATCAAAATCAGTAGTTTTTTTTAATGTCCTGTTGTTTGAAGGATCCCCAAAACAAGAGCAAAACAAATTGCCGCATTCCCACATCTCCAGAAGTAATGGATCCTTGCATGTCGACCTTCGTGAACTTTCATTGACCATAGGAAACACAAGAAATGTGGCAATTTTGAAAGGTAATAAATTATTGTAAGAGTAGGTCATGCGGGCGAAAGGATAGCAAGAAAGGACACGATCATTCTGCACATTCTGCACGATGATTCATTGCATAGAAAGAATTACGTTCTTTCCCTTTTCCTGCTGGTGGAAAAGAGACTTTATTTCCAAACTTCCTTAAAAGACTGAGAAACTGGCGGGGTAAGACTTTTTGAGACCTGACTCTTCCATGACCGTGTCTCTATGAGCCCAACCGTAACATCGCCCTTAACCGGGCGAGTGAGGGAAAAATGGCAAATTCCCAATCACTTCAAAGGGTTTTCAAAAGTACTTTAATTGATATGGATAATTCGAATTTGCTTTTTTTCTGTTTTCCTCCGAATTTTCTTCCTTGGACTCGGGTCCGAAGTGTGCTTTAGTGAACTAGTCGCATCGCAGATCGACTGGCCGCCATTATAATTGCAGCATCATAAAGGATTCATCTTGGTGCTGACAAATATTTCTCAACGGCTAAGGATGGACCACGAAAGAAAAGATTAGACTCGCAGGCAAATGGCACCAGAAGGTAGCGTGACGAGCACTATTACCTCGGCCCGATGCAACCACTTCAGTGATCAGTATGGCCACTTCTGATTGCAATGCCGACAGATGCCACATACCATCATAGAGGCGTACTCAGTTAATCGCGCTGCTCACGCTCACGATCCAAGGTGGCTCCATTTATCTGTGTGATCATTTTATTAGAGGTCCATCCCTGCCACTATGCAACAGTCGATCGCGCCAGAATGACTTTCATGACGTGGGCGCCACTGGCAATGGCTGTCAGTGAATGCACAATACCGATGCTATTGCTATGGCCGTCTCGTTCCACGGCATCTCATTCTCAGGAAAATCTACTTCTATCGTCGCGCTTGTAGAAAACTTCTCAAGCTCGGAAAAAGTGGAAACGAAAAAGGTATTGTGGGAGTCGCGGGATAGCAGGCTTCATCGCTTGGATGGCGCTGTTACGAATGGTAAACACACCTTTGGTGCTGCCTCCGGTTTCCTTGTCTCCCGACGTGCTGCAAGTTCCGGTCGAGCCGAGAGCCTTGCTGAAATGCTCGTCCACGATGCTACTGATATCACCGGAGTAATAGCTGTAGACGACACAGTTCGCAGAGACGTATTGCGCTTGGACGGTGGCAGCGGAAGAGGAAGACTTGCCGACCGGCGACGTCGCCCCGGCCTCTCCCTCCTCTGACTTAACATCCAGCCCTCCCCGTGACGTCATTTCCGATCCTTCCCCGGCTTTAAGCCCACCGATCCCATAGCCACTCCTCTGCACCTTCTCGTCTCCGTATTTCTAGAATTTCAACACCAAAAACAAAGTCATCTCAGAAACATAGGTCGATAGCGCAAGGCGTCAGAAAGGAGCGGGTAGGAGGGAAGTTTCTCAATGTTCGACGATTTCTATGCATATCATCGTGTGGTCTGCCATTAGTTCTCGATAGTCTCAAGTCAATTAATATTCGAACCTGTCATACGAGTGGCAAATAGTAGAAATATGATTTTGTTTCGAGTTGGCCATGTTTACTGCCTCATGCGACTTTGTTTTAATTCCGTTATGGAGAGTAAAGTTATCCAATTCAGCTCTCGTGCAGCCATTGAGAGCTGAATCGGATTAACTTTTTTACTATAAAGTATATACCAAAACACGAAGTCTATGGACTGTCATTTCTCTGCTTATAAAATCATCATGTGTTCCTGGAAAGATGGGTTGTATTCCTCGAATTTGGATGGTTCTCCCAGGAAGAATATACACTGACTTCTTTTAGATATTGTAGGAGTTTAAAATAGGTGAACCGAGGTCCACCTGGTGCCTCGTAGTCCACAGGTGGATCTAGTTGGCGAACATGTGAAGCTTCAGGATGCTAAGAAGGAATTGGAAATTAGAATCGGATGTCCTCGAACCGAATTTGATTACGGATAGGAGATATGACGAGACCGTGTCTTGAGCAGCTGGAACGAACCCATGGTGCTCTTCACTTGGGGTAGAGATGGACCTAGAGGGACTCACTGCTGCTCACTTCCTGTCGAGAGTTTATGGTAGGTGACTCGGATCGTCTATCGAGCATCCGAGTCACTAGATCCTAAAAATTATGCGTTCTTTCATTCATTCCTTAATCATACGGTCATGTTGGGAAAGAAGTAAAACCCGGATGGTGAGCCCGCTTCATCTAATTTAAAGCCTTACTATAGTCACATATGCGCTGCTATATCACTCTAACGGACAAAATCATCGCACATGGACTTATGGGCTTCATAAAACAGGGCGTGCGTGAGTTTAGGTTGGGTGAGTTTGAGGCGCTTTATTTGCTATGCATTTCTTTCCTCCAAGTAGATATACTCATCATCACTCATATACTCATACTCATGTATTCATCGACCTTGTTCATTCGGGAAACACGAATAATCTCTCCTCTTTCACTCAATGTTCTCGTATATGACAAATTCCTACTCGAAGATGAAGTGCAATGTCCTGAAGACGATCTTAGCATGCACGTCGTTGCTTCCCATAATGACCCATAATGAGTCTGAGGAGGCATGCCGAAGCAAATGGGGGACTGGAGACCCTCGTGCACCTCATCGGTTTTTCTCTCCCTCGTTCGTCGATGCCTCACGTTCGTGGCAATAATTCCCGAGTTTCTTGTGATTTCAAACTGAACATGCCACAACAATGGTTTCTTTTTTGTGAGATATTGAATACATTGTTTATACCTTGGCGTTAGCTGTTCTAAATTTTTCGAAGCAGATTTTGAAAATTTTTCTGGCAGACCTTTGCTGTAGTGAACATGACTAATCGTGACACAGGCAAACGAACATGCACATCTGCTGTCACGCTCATCTGCATGCGCACATTCATTCGTCCCTCCGATATATAGTAGCGATGACGTCTCATGATACAAAGAGATGCGTATCAAGGCGTGAAGAGGCATTTGAAAAATGCGCAGCCTGCAACTCAGGCAGCCGGCAGGGACTCACCGGTTTGGCAGGCGAGGCGTCGCCGGGAGAGTCATTATTGTTGTTCGGCTGCTGCTGGATTCCCGCAGGGGACCTCCCGTAAGGGAAATAAGGGGAAAACGGGTGATGATGGTGAGGGTGATACGGCGGTTGGTACATGGGAACAGCCACCACGCAGCTCATTCTGATTCACAAAAAAATTCACTGGGGGTATCCCGCATCTCGCATCCGCTTCGCACAGCGAGTCTCACTTGGGGAGAGCTAGAGGAACATTGGGTTAGCCACGTGGTCGGGGATGATGGGCGGGGCCGAATGGGAGGGGCTTTCTACACCTGTTCCTACCAATCACAGGTGTGTATTTTCAGGATGCCTTCCTTTTCCTCTGCGTCACGCCTCCCTCAGAGAACCCAAGTGGACAGAGTCCGAGTTCTGCATTCTTTAGACCTATGGGACCATTACAGGGAGCGGCCACTGAGCACGTCTGGGGCTATATTTTTTCCTCTTATCCTCCTTCCCCCCCCCCCCCCTTCCTCCTCCTTCCCTCCCTCCTCCTTCTTTTGAGGAAAAGCTTAATCTCAGTCTCTCTTGCATGCAGTCATATGCAGTACATTCGTTCGAGAAATCTCGGTGGGAAATCGGGGTGATCATGTGGTATCTCGACCTGTCCATTGAAATGATGCATTGCACTCGAGACTGAATCTTTAGTAATGCCATAAATTTACTTTCGATAGGGGACAATAGCCTGGTTCAGGTAGGATGCAGAGTCGGCGGAGCTTTTCTTCTCTGAGAAAGGGAGAGGGACTTAATTGGCGGCTTCGGGATCATGCGGCATCGGAGCATCAAAAGACTTCACCTTCGCACGTGTGCTTCCATCGGCCCTCCCTGCCTTCATAGAATCTACTTCGTTGACAGAGGCCGTCGACTCCTCACATTCCTTTTGGGCGTGCACGCGCCTCTTTCTGTCCATTTCAGCTTTCTCTGTCCGACTCCGTCCGAACCACATGACCCCGATGAGCGCGCGCGCGCGCGCGTGTGTGTGTATGATATTGGTCAACCATGGAATTTCTACTACCTATTTTTGTGAGCATATTGCGTTTCAAAGTTCATTAATGAACATTTTTTCCATGTTTCGAATCTAATTAAAGTGTATGAGTTCTTTTATTTCATCATTTCACCTTGTCATTGTGTCTACGGGTTCATTCTAAATCTATATTGAACTTCATTTCATTAATCTTTCACACAGCGAATGTAGCGCATGGAAGGACGATAAAAAAGAGAAACGTGAGTCGGAACAGGGTCTGTGCGGTTTCTACATTTCGAACTCAATCAGCAAAAAACACGAAAGCTCTCTAATCAGAGAGTCACGGTTTTCCACGTTACACGACCATAAATGGAAATCGAAGATCCTGGTCAAGAGATAGGGGGGAGGGCTTCGTACTTGTCAAGTTGTCAAGAGCCAGTGTCACGCACGAGACATCAGAAAGAACTCCTTAATGCGATGGGAGGCATTCCCCTGCCAGGGAATACATGGACGGAAAAGGAGATGGAAAAAACCGCTGGCTCGGGGGTCTTTTGAACTCGCCGCCAACTACATCGAATAAATCAGTTTCATTGCGCCTGATTAATTGGAGAAAGAAAGACTCCTTTGTTTCCCTTTCCGCTCTACAATTAGTGGACAGTCCTACTGGAAATCGTTCCGACTGATTCAAACTGTTCACTTCTATGATGATAGGCATAAAAATAAGTTCGAAAATGATTGCCATATTCGTAAATCACATATTTTCATTATGCCAAAAGAAGATATTCCAATCCAGCAGACTGAACTTAGGAAGAACTCATGTTATTAAGTGCAAATATACCTATCCAATAAAAGACAAACAGCTACTGTCGAGAATGAAGCAGCGGAGGCTGCTGGGTGCGAAGTTCAACCAGAGTCCTCTGTTTATTAGTGCAAGCATATATTAGTTGAGCCTGCAGCAACTAGATGTCACGATGTCTGCTTTTCTTTCCCCTTTTCTCCACCCCACTCCTCGGGCCACTCCTCAATATTGAATCAACGTCGATGGTGAGATTTTGATGTTGATGGGTCAATGTAAGATCAACGTTGATTCAATGTTGAAATGAAACCAGGCCCAGTACGAACACCAAATATGGATGCTAGTCAGTGGCGTATACAGAGGGGATGGGTGACGCAAAAAAAAAAAACCATGGCCGGTGCTTTGGAGTGGGTGTATTGGCAATCGCCATTGTTATAAGCGAGTAAAGCGAAGATAGGATCAAGGGGCTCGCCGAGCCGTCCTTCGCTTCGTCCAGCACCCCTTCTGGATCCTCTCCTCGCCCAGCGAATCCCCCCCATCCACCCCCTCCCTATGTCGTCCCTCAGCGACCGTAATACTGAGCCTCCCCTTCCAAAAAATCCTGCGTACGCCACTGACACTGGTCACCTATGAAATCTGAAAGGTCAACCATGGATATTGGCGTTTCTTGCTTCACGGTCATACCCTTGTTGAAGTTATTGCTGCACAATTATTGATTATTAAATACTCTTGGGCACTTGGCTACTTTCATGCTGATGACAGTGATATTAATCATTGCATTAGTTAATAGTTGAATGGATATTTGAGAGTAGACAATACATTTTTAGGTAAACTTGAGATTGAAACGGGGTAAGGGGAGAGATCCGGGAATCCAAGGACTCCTTGAAGTCTCGATGATGGAGATCAGCTCAACTGTTCTATCCCTGAGCCGTTCCCCCTCCTCTTGAGAAACAGAAGACAGAGGGCCACCAAAGTAAGGGATCAGGCATCAATGAAACGGCCACGATCAAGATCACTGGATTCCCACCATCCTTTCCCGTGTAAGAATTCCGGGAAATTTCTGGAGACCTGAAAGGGCTGGAGGGTATTTTTTTCCGTCAAGAAGGAATCCGCCAGAAGGTAGTACACATGCTTTGGTGATAAGAAATGCCATTTATTTCAGATTTAAGAGTCTTTGGGCTCGGGCATGGTGGAGTCCACGATGTCTTGTAGCTGGCTTTTGCTTCTCGTGAGTCTACGCTCGATCTCTTCCGTCGTCTGTCCTTTTGTTTCCGGCATGACCAATTGAAAATAAATGGCCAGTAGGAAACAGACGCAGCCGAAGAGCCAAAAGGTCCCAGAGAGTCCGATGGAATCCACTAAATAGAAAAAAACTTCTAATATGACGAAGGCGAAGGCGGTTACGACAAAATTCACCGCACCAGTCGTTTTACTCTTGATCTGAACCGGAATGAGTTCCCCATTGAAGATGACGATGATGCTTCCAACTCCCAGAGAAAAACCAATCATCACCATGTTCAAGGCCACTAACGGAAACCAAGGCACTGCATTCGTCACATGACGGTAGGATTCCTGTTCCTTCAGGTAGTAAAAAGTGGCAAAGGAAATTTCGGATACTCCCATGATGATAGCTGAAAGTAAGACGGCTTTCCGGCGTCCCATTCTATCCATGATTTGCCCGCCTGCGATATATGCCAGGAACTGCACACCTCCTAGAATCATCGTTCCGATGTGAGGATCCAGTCCCGTCCCGGATTTTTGGAAGATGTCGTAAGAGTAGTACAAGATAGTGTTGAAACCAGTAAAGTGTCGAATAATAACTAATAAGAGGAGGAGGATGACAGGGCGAAGATAATGAAACTGAAGGATGTCTCTGACGGTTGCGATCTCCCGTTGCGTGTCCAGGAAGTGTTCCTGCATCTCTCGGAAGTCTTCGGAAACATCGATACGGCCTCCTCCGCGCAGCCACGCCAGACTACGGAAAGCCTCGTCCGACCTACCTTTGGAAATGAGCCATAAAGGCGACTCTGGTAATGTGAGGGCAAGGAAGCCGAAGATGGGGATGAGGAGGGCAGCGTTGACGAGGGCAAGAGAGGACCACGCAATGTAGGATCCCAGGACGTAGTTGATGAGGGAGCCCAGCATGACCGTGGCGTGGATGCTGGTGCTCAGGCGGGCCCTTATCGACGGGTGGGCAGATTCTGCCAGGTATAACTGGACGGAGACGCCTCTGGTACCGAACATGGCCCCACACAACAGGCGCCCGCACAGGAGCATCGTGTAGGTTTTGGCGAAGGCCGTCAATAGCCAGCCTCCCATATAGATGATCATACAGAGAAGTGCGACTTTTTTTCGTCCCAGGGCTTGTGACAGGGTCCCTCCCACCAAGGCTCCTCCCATTGAGCCCAAATTCGCCGCACTCCCTATGAGATTTAACGAAACGAATTAATGGACTAAGCTAAAGACTAGTATGAAAATTAGGTTCAATCAAAATTCTGCATGATCATCACATTCGTTAAATCGCTTCCGTAGACGAAATACTTAGTTGGCATTAGCCTGATGCATGAAAATGATGCATGCACTCCAATCAGCCTACATCGACCACACACTCGAAGAACTTGTTGAAACAGCTTCAAAGATTTCATCTTGGCACTGCCTCGAGTTAAACTCTCAACAACGGCTCTATAGTGAAGTGACTTGAGGGAAAGAGAAAAGAAATCTGACATCATCAATGGCGCAACCCTTTTCCTCCTTTGCTCAGGCATTCGACAAGTTTGTTCTGCATTGCTTCATCCCATGCCCTTGAAACTTTGCTATATTTTTCTACACATGTTTAGAAGTTTTTAAACGACGTTTCCTCAATAAAATCCCAAAAGGCTTTTGCGTGTCAGTTAGCCCCATAGCCACAACTGACATTTGAGTGTTGGGCAAGTTTTCTCTTTGAGTATTCATCCCATACCCTTGAAACTCAAATAGAGTACTCTAATTGATTTCATGATACACTAGTACGAACTTATGTACGAAAATTAATCGTGATCGCTCAGCTCCATGATCGTGCTTTTTTGGCGATGAATATAGTAATTTACTACCTCGGCAGCACTCTAACAGAAAACGGAGACTGCAATGCGGATATCAGCACGGACAGGGATAGATTTCAGGTAGATGAACGGCCTAGGTAAAATCTGGAAGTCAAAGAAAATCAGAATCGACTTCAAAGTGCAAATGTGCAAATGGCGATATTGCCCCACCAGTTTTTTAATGCCAGCAGCAAACCATTCACAAGAGTAGCTTTCATCCATTGGTTTATGACTGATGCAAGGTCAGTCCTTGACCCGTATCCTCTTTCCATCCAATAAAATTTGAATTTTTGCGAAAGGATGGGGTATATTTTCCAGTTGAGGTCATGTGTTGTCTGAGTGGTGTTATTTATATAGG